TCAGTTCCTCCCATTCTTCATCATCTTCTTTGAGTTTGCGTTTACTTTTCAGCCCAACATTCTTGTTCAAGCTCTGCCACAGGGTTTGGGTTGGAGGTTGTGGCGCATTGTACAGAAAATACTTCAAGTACCCAGAATCATGTCTTTTCTTTTCTTCTCCGTATCTGAGTTTGAAGTTTGGTTTCTGGATTTTCTCTAGGCCAACTTTGGCTGCCTCTAGCAAGTAATCAAAAGCAGTCCAATTGGGATCAAGTTTTGTCTCTTTGAAGTCTTCGAGGCAGAGGAGTTCCATCTTTTTGGCAATGATCAGAACAGTATTTGCTTTCTAGTAAGGAGTAGACAGAATGCTGATGAAAGCTGTTGAGTTGAAATAAAATAATATATGGAGCTCTACTACTGATGCAGTGAACAGGCTGAGTAGTTTCTTTGATAAACAGGAAATTAGGGGTAATCCAAATTGATCTAAGTAGAATTTAACCTTTCTTGCAAGACAAGTCACAGATAAAATTCAGTGCAGTTTTTTTAATGTTCAAAATAACCATTACAGTAGCTGTTAAAATAAAAAATAAAAAAAATTTAGCACATTAACCCAATTGTCCTAACCCGTTTAAAAGAAAAAAATCAATCAGGAAAATTAACCTACAATGCTACATTTTTTAATGCCAACTGATTTTAAGATAATTATTATATTAAATTTGAGAATGGCACATAAGTAAATTTTAATTACTATTGATTTGATTTAAATAAACATATTCCTTACTTTGTAGGGATATGTAAGGCAATTAAGATAAAGTATATATAGAGTATTAGTAAATATATATAGAATAACTATTTTTCTTCTTCGTATCTGAGTTTGAAGTTTGGTTTCTGCATTTTCTCTAGGCCAACTTTGGCTGTCTCTAGCAAGTAATAAAAAGGAGTCCAATTGGGATCAAGCTTTGTCTCTTTGAAGTCTTCAAGGCTTAGCAGTTCCATCTTTTTGGCAAAGTTCAGAACAATATTTGCTTTCTAATATGGAGTAGACAGACTACTGATGAAAGTTGTTGAGTTAAAGTAAAAGAATATATGCAGCTCTGTTTAGATAGACTACTGATGCAGTAAACAGGCTGAGTAGTTTCGTGATAAACAGGGAATTAGGGGTTATCCAAATTGATCTAAATAGAATTTAACCTTTCTTTCAAGACAAGTCACAGAGAGAAGATTCGGTATAGATTTTCTAATGTTCAAAATAACCGTTACGGAATCTGTTAAAAAGAAAAAAAAAAAAAGATTTAGCACATTAACCTCATCGACCGCCCCAATTGTCCTAAACCCGAATTGTAATCCAAAAAACTAAAAAAAAAAAAACCATATAAATAAAAGCTTTTTTCATTTGCTACTTTTTAATATAAACAAGAAAATCCCCCCTACATTGGAACTTACTAGTACTTAGCTTTAATATTATTTCTTTAAATAGATTTGAATTTATAGAAAAAAATGAGCTTCTTATACAAACCTGAATGTTATTTGTTGTCTTGCCTAGTTTCAACGAGGAAATAGTTTTGGCAATGGCATCATGCGGCTGATGTATTGTTATATTATACAGTTTAATTACTACATTCGAACGAAAGTGGAATCAACAAGTGAAGAACATATGAATTTGAAACTGAGGAGTTGAGTTTTTTTTATGAACTGAAACTAGCGAAAGAATGACTTCGAGTGAGTATAAATACTAAAAGATATAAAAGGACAAAAAACTAGAATAAGCAGTCACACCTGCCCAAGCTGGGAAAAACCACCCTTTCAACTTCTTTGCTTTCCTTCATATACCAAAATTTGGTCAAGCACCAACATCCACGCTTAAATCTCCAGAATTGCTAGCCTGCAATCCCCAAGTAAGAAGTTTGGCGTGGATCATATAAATACACGAAATAGAATTGTACCTCCAACCGGGAGGTCCAATTTTCTTGACTGGCTCTTGCAAGTCTGCAAATATACCAAGGTGGACCAGCTTCAGTGGTTACCGGCAATGCAAAATTTATCATTGCAATGAATCATGACAACCAGAGGATATACTTCAATGCAAAAGTGAAATAGAAAGGAAAACATTTTACTTACCTGGTAGCTTATTGTCATTAAATGACCAACTGGATAAAGGGCCAGTAAAGTTAAGGACTGCATCATCATGCAACCCAAAAGTCGTATTCCATTTTTTTTCCATTTCAGCTTCGGTAAAATAAATTCAACTCACCCCCCGGAGTTCAACTTCACTTTAAGTAACCTTCAAGGCTTCAACCGATCAGAATTTGAATTTAAGAAGTAATAGTAATGAGAATAAGTTGTAAACTAGTAATAATAATTTAAAGCTAGTCTACACAAACAAAAATAAGTAGAAGAAATGATCGAAATCCTCATCGACGATGAAGAGGTAATTTTTGACGCACTTGTCGACCGTCGATTTCATGTGATAAGACTTGGACATGCTCGATAGATCTGGCCTAAGGAAGCGACCGAGAGGTGCTTCCATCCCCAACGGGTCGACGAACTTCGTGCGGAGTGAACCAGGAACAACATGATACCGTACATGATCGCCAAGGAAAACAAGAATTTGAATCCGGAAACATCTCTGGCGTCGAACCTTAACTCCATTATCTAACAAATAAATCCGAAACCTTGTAATCCAAGTTTAGAGATAGAGAGACCCCCAACCATGGCTCTTATAAATATAGTAAAATAGTGAAACAGATAGTCAAACTTAGGAATGTATTGGAGAAGCTGCAGGGTTTTCCTTTTTTTTTTTTATTCTTTCCAGTGGAGTTGGAGCCAAGAACAGTTTACAGCTGGGAAAAAAAGCCAGGGAACCCCCTCCAGCGAAAGTTGTTTTTGTTTGTAATTGTATTCTCATTTCTGTTTTGTTCTGTAATTTGTGTTTTAGTTTATAGTTGAAGTGTTGAACCGTTGATTGAAGCGGGGTGTTGGGTCGGGTTCGTTGGTGGTGGGATTTTATAGTGATTGTATAACGGGTCGAGATTAAGTTTCGAATTTGTGCGATTTTAAGATCTAGGCATCTATTCATTCGATGTTTCAGATCAATATAATTATCACGATTCATATTTTTGTGAAGTATTATCCGTTCTAATATTTAATTTTACGATTTTATCCTACAAAAAGTGTCTTACAAAGAAGAGATGGTGTGAACTCTTATATACGTCAGTGATCTTTTTATTATGTTCGATGTGAGATTTAGAACTCCTCTTTAGGTCCGTGACATTCTCCGAACCCGCATGACTCCTGGATTCGAACATTCACTCATCCGACATCTCATATCAACATTTCTGTCACGGTTTATATTCTTATGAGGTATTATCCGTTCTGACTTCATGATCTCACGATTTTATCTTACAAAAAATATCTCGAGGTAATGTGAAATTTTTTATACTCCAATAATCTTTTTATTATGTTTGATGTGAAATTCAAGACTCATACTTAAATTTGTGATATTTGTATTTGGTTGAATTTATATTTAGAAAATAAAATTTAATTTTACAACTCTTCGGCTCGTTTATTCTGAAGTACGCAGAAAAACATGGATGATTTATATAAAAAAAAAAAAAGAAAAAAAAAGAAAAGAAGAAGAAGAAGAAGATAAATTTGGGATTCGAGTTCTTTATTTAAAATAATTTTATTGTCATTTATGGCACTCTAGCCTCTAGCTTGACAGTATAAAGAAGAAGGTGAGAAAAAAAAATCAAGGAAAAACTAAATTTAATTTATTGATATTATCATGTTTAAAATTTAAATATTAATATTTATAATATATTTTTTATTTACAAGTTATGATTTTTTTTAATATAGTCATTGTTCTTTAGTGTATGCTTTAAAACTAAAGGCTAATATATTAATTAAATTATATATTTATATTGCTTACTCAAACATTTCTTGTGTTGCTAACTAGAATTTATAAAAAAGTTAAGATAATTTAACTGTCAATACTTAGTGCCACCGCAGCCATGCACGGCCATTTTTATTAACGTTAAATATTAAAATATTGGAGCTGCTTCTTTTCCAATCACGCCATACAAAAATGGCCCATCTAGTTCGTTCAACACTGCATCGTATAGCACTATCATGTTCTTGTTCATTCCGAAAAGCGTCACTTTCCTAACCTGATTCTCGAGTGAGTAATGCTATTTACACATTCACTTTTTCTCTTTTTATTATTATTAACACACATTTTTTGCTTCTCTTCAAATTCTAAATAAAAATATTAATTTACTAAAAAATCTAAACACCCCACACTCCTCTTTTTTTATTCATTAAAAATTTTAAACCTTTAAAAATTAAGTACTAAATCAAACCTCAACCACTCATTTGATGTTAGATAGTTTAAAATTATAAATATTTTTTTTAAAATTTTTTCATTTGATTTTGTATTTAATTTTAAAAAAATTAAAATTTTAAATTTAATGGTACAATTTGAGGAAATGATTAGAACATTTCAAAAATAAATTTTTAAAAATTATTGAAAGTTTTTAAAAATAGATATTTGAAAAATTTTTTAATATAACAAAAATTTGTTGCAATTTTCAAATAATTATAATGTTTTAAAGAAATGAATTTTTGGTAGAATTAAAAAAATTTTTAAAATAAATTTTCAATATATTAAAAGAATTTTCAAAAATTTATTTCGATAACTTATTAAAAAATGATATAAAAATAAAAAATAATTAACTAATAAATATTTAAATAACTTTTTTTATCGGTTAATTTTTTAAAATAAATTAAAAAAATTTTACGTGCAAATAGTCCCCTTTCGAGTTTCTTTTGTCTAGTAGATTTTGGAAAGTAGTACGAATTTTCTATTTTCCCAATTGGAAATAATCATGATTCATGAACCTTGTAACTGTTTTGCAACAGATAAATCATGCCACGTCCATGATTTTGATGTCCCACCTTTTAACGGTATATTTCCACTACACATGTCATTTTAACCCTCCGAAAAACTGTAAATAAAATCCATTTATTTATTTGCTAGAACTTATAAGGAATAAAGTATACGGTGTTGATTTTTTTTTTTTTTTTGGGGTTTTGTTTTGCTTGAAGTATGGATTAAGGTAAATGCTTTGTGTCTTCGGAAACTAACCGAAAGGACAATAAGGAAAAACATCATCAGACATCAAAGAACAGTTAAAAAAACAGTAAGCAAAACAAAGGGCGATCTCTTTGTCTTTCTCTCGATCGAAACTCACCTTTCAGAACAATGTACGGGAAAGCTGCAATTGGTTTAACGTTCGTGATTCTCTTCCTGATTTCGTGTTCAATCTATGTCGGAACCGTTGATCTCAGATCATACTTCTTCCCCTTACTTCAGTCATCCCCGGTTCCACGCTCCCTCTGTGCAAACGGCCGTCCTTTTCGGGTTTACATGTACGATCTTCCTAGGAAATTCCACGTCGGCATGATGGATCGTCGGGGCTCCGAGGAAGCGGCTCCCGTTACCATGGAGAATTTGCCTCCGTGGCCCCCAAATGGAGGGATAAGAAGGCAACACAGCGTGGAGTATTGGCTGATGGCCTCGCTTCTTTATCACGGCGACGGCGAAGAAGAAAGGGAGGCGGTTAGGGTTTCGGATCCCGAAACTGCGGACGCGTTTTTTGTGCCATTTTTTTCCTCGTTGAGTTTTAATACGCACGGCCATAGCATGACTGATCCTGAGACGGAGGTCGATCGCCAACTACAGGTACTGAAAATGTTAATTGCTCACTTTAAAGTTTAACCTGTTTAATTTCTATCAATTATGGTTTAACGCGTTGTTTCGCGGTTTACTAAGCTAGGAAAGGGAGCAATTAGATTGGGGAGTTGGGTTTTAGTTGTTTTGATCCTAAAACTAAATAGAATAAAGCTCAATTGGTTACTATTTTTTTTCTTCTTTAAGTTTCAATTTGAAGCACTTCCTTTACTGATATTGAATTCCAGAAAAATTGGAGAGTTTGGCTTTCTGGGAAATGAGATTAGATGTGGATAGCATTGGAAATTATAAAAGTAAGATCATGTTAATAAGTTTGGCTTTTGACTTGTTGAAGAATTAGCCAATGGTTTAGACACTAGCACTGTGGAAAGATGAAAGGTTGGATTTTTTGGAATTTATTAATGAAATATTGCTTTCAAACATGTAAACACATTATAACTTGAGTGAATCTTTTGATCACGATGCATTCGATCCTTAGCCAATGGTTCCATTATCCATGGTAATGATTACTAGAGAAAGGAGGACCTATACTTGCTTCTTGCTATTACTTGAAAGTCTGTAAAATAAATGCTAATTGTTATTTCCTCAATCTTTTTTTTTTTAAAGTAAGATTTATATGTTGTCTTTTACTATCTGCGATCAGCCAGTGGACAACAAGTAGTACCTTGCACAGGTTTCTGGAAATAAATCATCATGCTTGCCCCATTAGGATTCTGTTATACTAAAGTACTAATCTGTGAAGCATGATTTGAGAAAACTTTATTCCCCACTGCTGCGGATGAGTTTCTCTGGGTTGTAATTAATGCTTTGTGTTTTACCAGCACCGTGCACTGCTACCATTATCTGATATTTCAGTTTTCCTATGTGAATTGCTTCTCGTTTCAGGTTGAGTTACTTGAATTCTTGCAAAAATCCAAGTACTATCAAAGATCTGGAGGCAGAGACCATGTAATTCCTATGACACATCCAAATGCTTTCAGATTTCTTCGACAGCAGTTGAATGCATCTATTCTTATTGTTGTAGATTTTGGCCGCTATCCTAGAAACATGTCAAGTTTAAGCAAAGATGTGGTTTCTCCATATGTACATGTTGTGGATTCCTTCACAGATGATGACCCTTTGGACCCATATGAATCTCGAACCACACTTCTTTTTTTCAGGGGAAATACTGTCAGGAAAGATGTATGATTGCTTTTAAGACACAAATATTCCCTTCAAACCTCTGTTGAATCTGAGTAATATTACTCAACTCAAGACCATTTTCTGTTGCAGCAAGGCAAAATTCGAGTCAAACTGGCAAAGTTGTTGGCTGGTAGTGGTGATGATATTCATTACGAAAAGAGCATAGCAACTTCAACAAATATTAAAATGGTATGCTGCTTACCTAGGCCCTTGGATGTTACAATTTTCAATACAATTAAATCACAAAGTGGTAATCTTTCTTTCCAACTCTACATTTTTCTGGCAGTCAGAAAAGGACTTGCTTGTCAATACATGTTATGGTGGCTTTCTACAACCATGAGTACCAATTTTAGTTACCTTGCCTTCTATTCATACTTTCCCTTTGGATGTTTCAGACAATATTTTTGTGATGAAACTCTATTAAACAGAAGCTATTTTTCACTTTATTATGGTTACTAATCCTTTTAAACTTCTTAAAAATCTAAAACAAAGTAATCTCGTTTTCAAGCTGTAGGTAAACTTTGGAGTCAGTTTGCATTTTTCTAATAAAATTTTATGCTATACCTATACTGTCTATCTTATTTCTTTCACCTTCTTGTGTGTTAGTCTACTGAGGGGATGCGCTCGTCAAAGTTCTGTCTGCATCCTGCGGGGGATACACCTTCTTCTTGCCGACTATTTGATGCTATTGTGAGCCATTGTGTTCCTGTAATTGTCAGTGACAGAATTGAGCTTCCCTACGAGGATGAAATTGACTACATGGAATTCTCAATTTTCTTCTCTATGAAGGAGGCATTAGAACCTGGCTATTTGGTCAGTCAGTTGCGTCAATTTCCAAAGGATAGATGGGTTGAAAAATGGAAGCGGCTTAAGAATATTGCCCATCATTACGAATTCCAGTACCCTCCAAAGAAGGAAGATGCTGTCAATATGTTGTGGAGACAGGTAAAGCACAAGCTTCCGGGGGTTCAACTAGCTTTACATAGAAGTAGAAGGTTGAAAGTTCCAGATTGGTGGCGGCGGAGGAGATGATTTCAGAACCTTGTTTTATGACACTGAACATCACAATCCTTTTTTTTTTTTTTTTCATTTATGGAGACCTCATTGCGGGAACAAGCAAAAGGTGCGCAGAAGTCACAAGCTAACATCATGGGCCAGCTTTACCGTCCTGATGAGTTACCGTGTGTGGTTTCAATTTTTTCCCTCCATATTTTCCAGCATTATAGTAAACGAGGTAGTCTATTAAGATTTATCCTCATTTTTTTGTCTGGCAACAGCTAATAATGTTTTTCATCATTTGGTAGTGCGGAAGTTATAGATATTGTAAAGACATAGGATTTACAATCTAGAAACATGTGAAAGGTTTTCCTGAATAGTTCTAATTTTTGCATTCAGATATTCTGTAAGGTCATTCAGTGAAGTTATCAAGCTAATTCATGTACCAGAGAAAACTTGAAACTTTTTTAACTGTGAAAAATGGTGGAATTTTTTTTTTTTTTTACAAAAAGAACTGCAGTATGAAGATAAAGAGATAAAATTACAGACGTTAAAATTTAAAATTTAAAATTATTAGATATCATCTTTTTATAATGATTGTAACAATTAATTGAGTTATATTTTAATATCACCGAAATAAACTTTTTTTTTTCCTTTAGCAAAATGCAAAAGATGTCATTATTTTCAGTTTTTTAGTGTCACTGAGACTGAGAGTTGAGACTTTAAGAAAGATTAGCATCGATTCCGCCTGGATGCAATTTCAGTAACTGGGGCTGGTGAAATATTGTTGTCACGTTGAAATTCTTGAAATCTATTTTCAACTGCTCCAATTGAGATCTTCAGTCACCCAAACGGAAGATCTCAGTTAGAAGCATTCTTGGGCTTAGCTATTTTATAAACAAAATTTCTAGAACGTTGTTTCCCCGTACGCCGTTCGGTTCATTTGATTGGATTTCAACCGTGGAAAAACTTTGGGAATGTTACCAATCCACATGTTGCTGACCATAATTAAATAGACTTCGAGTGACTTTTTAGAGCTGGTAAAGACAGCGTGAACGCATTGCTGACTTCAAGAGTTTTTTTTTTTTTTAATTATCAAGATTTAAAATTTTGTAATGTCCCTAGACCTTAAATTTTGGTCATTAAGTAGTGGTCCCCCTTTCTTTATAATGTCCCTAGACCTTAAATTTTGGTCAGGAGTTGGTGGCCTGCTACATTAATGTACATGAGAGCAAGCATCACTCTGTTGAGATTTGAATACTCCATTGGTATAGGGTGATTTGGCTTAGGTCAAAACAAATCACCTTAATTATAAAAGTGAGAATTTTTTTATCATTTTGTTAAAAGACTCTTTATTAATATAATAAATCACCCTAAGCTATGAATTTTTTTATCATGCTGCTAAAGGATAAATTAATTTTTATCCTTTAGTTTAAAACAAATGACCCTAAGCTATTTTTCTGTTATCTTCCTAGTAACACAGCGAAAAATTTATTCTTTTGAAAATAAAATATAAAAAACAAAATTATTTGAAAATTAGAATGAAATGGAATATTTGAAACTAAAATATATCAAATCAGATTTCTAAGAAATCTTTACAGGCTTGTCAGCTTTTTACATTAGCGCATGATTTGAAGACGACCTCTATAGCAAATATCCATAATTATAAGTCAATTGAGTAAGAATTAAAATTCTTTTGGATTTTTGAAGGTAAAACCAAGTTCTATTGATCTAAGAAAGAAGAGAAAAACTCATCAAACACAAATACCCAATGAACAATCGAAATGAAACTCCCAAATCTTCAACTCAACACACTTTTAAGTTGCCATTGCACATGGGTTTACTAGCAAACAACAACATATAGATTACAACTTAACAACAATGGTTGCTATGCAATTTTCTTATATTACATATTACAGAAAACTTGAAGTAACATTACATCAAACACCTCATGGGCTTGCACTAGTTGATTCTAATGCATTTATTAAGCACTCTTTAAATTTTAGGGCACAGTTCAATGGATTAAATCTTACGCTGAAATTTACAAACCGAGACAAAAATTTGAGGCTTCCCACCGAAAAGAAGGGCATACTTTAATAAAATGTCTTAAATGTCATCATTCAAAGCTGTTGGATTGGTTGTACCAAAAAACAATGTAGATGTAGTAATAGTCTGACATGCTTTAAAGATTCTAAAAACAAAAAAGAGGAGCATGCAGCGGTCGTGTAGAAAAAGAATCGATTCTCTAATTTCAAAGTTTCCATCAAAAGAAAATAACAATAATTGAGTCGGAAATGGTTTGCCTATAAAAGGATAAATAGAGGGTGAGAAATGTCTATCACAATCAGTGATATATAGAGTGAGTGAAAGTTGTCCTTTGGGGCTGGCTGTTGGAAGAGTTGCCAAAGCTATAAAGTTCTTAGATAACAAGCAAAGCAAAGGTAATAACTATATTCTTCTCTTTTTTTTTTTTTTTACTCATTTATTTTGTAATATTTTGTCAAAATTATTGTTTTATTGGCTTGAATGTTAGTAATTTCCATTTGTGATGAAACTTTGATTGTTGGATTGGCAAATGTGTCTAAGCCGTGGATCTCATCCCTTCAGTTTAGCTTTCAAAATGGAGAGAATCTGTCGAGGATCAGATTTCTTAGCTTCAATCTGTGGAAGAAATTATTTTATGCCACATCAACTAAAGGTGGAAGACAACTCAAAATTCCACTGTGACTCTAAATATGAAAAAGAAAAAATCAAAGTCTTTTTTTTTTTTTTAAATTTAAATTAAATTAAATTTATTTATATAATCATTCATAAAAAAAAAAAAGATATTCAACAGATCTTTAATTTTTTTTTTTCTAATCTTGATTTCCTTTGTATCAAAAAAGTCTATATATTTTTTTTTCAAAACCGAGCTAGTGTAAAAATTTTATTACCCCAAATCTTAATTCCAAATCAAAGGTGTATAGTAAGACATGCACGCACCCTACAACCAACTTTTTTTTCTGATTTGTAGTACAAAAATGTGTATTAAAACTCATGATATATACCTCTACTATCAATTTGTACCTTAATTATCTTTATGATTCGAAGTAAGTTTATGTGGCTATCCTTGTCTTTCTTTGCATTTTTCCCCTCTACCATCCATTTTGGTTAAAATTTTCCTTACATCTTAGACTGGAAAAACACTGAAAATGACAGATAAATTGTATGCTGATTTGATGACCTTGAGGTTACAAAACTGTTTTCAGAAATCATTATTTCATATCACAAGGAACTAGATTTCCACATCATTGGTATGTATATGTATTTCTTAATCCTTTCAAATTAGAAAGATATAAAGAACTTTTATTTAAGAGTTCGTTTTGATATATTGACAGTAAACTTCTTTAACCCCACAAGTAAAATTAAAAATCAACAGATCCCATTTTTAAAATTTTTTTGCATGACAAAAATAAATTAGGCCAAATTCTCACATACGAGGGCGACTGCTGTAGTAGGTGGATGAAAGCAAAAGCAATAGAGCAAGTATGGGACCATCTTAATTTCCATGTTCTTTCAAGAACATGGAGTTATCAATACCCACCAAACAAACGTGGGGTACCTTGCATCTATGGTCTAAAATAGCTACTGTTTTGGAAATGTATAGCTGGCGTGACCAATGTGCACTGGAGATTCTGCTACTAGTTTTTTTCCCTTTCGTTTTATGCTAATAGTGATTTGTGGACCATATTTCATTGATTACTACAAGACACTCATATAGGAAAGCGAAATGCTAACTAAAATGAAATCATCACCTACAAATTATTTGATGGATGTGCAATTCAGTATATAGATAAAGGAAGAGCCAGTGAAGCCATATTGCAAAAGTTTTAAACCATGGCAGATTGGACCAAGAAGACCATCCTTAGAAACGATGCCCTTCTGCAGGTATTTCATATATATGACAAGTCATCTGCTTTTTTTTTTTTTTTTTTTGGGATACTTACCATATCTTTAATTTTAAACTGAACTGCTTGCTCTGTTTTTTATTTTTTTTTTGGAGGTGCGAACAAAAAGATTAATGTATTTATTGTATTGCAGTATATCTTCCAAACAAGTGCCTATCCCAAAGAGCACGAGCAATTGAAGGAATTAAGAGAGGCCAGTGCCATGAAGTATAAAGATTTGTAAGTTGTTGATATTTTTTCCGGTGGTTTATCTATAGTAATCTTGTCAACTGTTATCAAAATTTATGGAGTCTTTCAATTGAAAAAGTTGCATAAAAAGAAATGGGGAAAAATGTTTTCTTTCTTAATTTGGTACCAATTACATATTCTTTAAATAGAAAAATGTGACATGAACTTGGTTTACCATACAGGAGTGTCATGATTGTGCCTGTTGATGAAGCACAGTTCTTATCTATGCTTCTAAAGATAATGAATGCCAAGAAGACCATGGAAATTGGAGTTTTTACTGGCTATTCCCTTCTTACTACAGCCCTTGCATTGCCTGACGATGGCAAGGTATGATTTTAATATGTTGCTGATCTTAGTGATCGCCCTGTTTTTTTTCTTTTTTTGGCTTATTTTCGTTAATTTATCAGTAAAATGATCTTGTAGCTAGCTGATTTAATTTCCAAATGCAAATTGAAATTAAAAAAAAAAAAAAACCCTTTTGGCAGGTAATGGCAATTGATCCTAACAAAGAAGCTTACGAAACTGGATTACCATTTATCAAGAAAGCCGGAATGCAGCATAAGATTGAATTCATTCCATCTGATGCCTTTTTAGTTTTAAATGATCTTATAAAAAATGTGAGTATATATATTTCATGCTTGATATATTAAGAACTTAGACTCCACTTAGGAGCGTGGTGGGAGCATCCATCACGTCGAAAGATGAACCGTTTTATGGCTCCCTAATGGAACTTAATCTTTCACTCTACCGCACCATGTTAGTTAATTACTATCTATCTTGATATGATTGGAACTTTGCAGGGGGAAGAAGGGAGCTTCGATTTCATATTTGTGGATGCATATAAAAGTGATTATCTTAAATTTCATGAGCTGACGCTGAAATTGGTGAAGATCGGAGGAATTATAGCTTATGACAACACTTTATGGTATGGTTCGGTTGCACAATTAGAGAAAGAAGTGGTGGACGACCGTATTAAGATGTTAAGAAATTTTATCATCGAATTTAATAGCTTTATTGCAGCTGATCCTCGAGTTGAGTCATCGCTCCTTTCCATTGGCGATGGCCTCACTCTATGCAGGCGTCTCTATTAGTCAATATGGGACTCGTCCATGCTGGTGAAGTAGTTTGAAACACAATAAAGTAATTATTTGTATCTTGTTGTTTTAATTAGTTTGAATAATTTTTATGTTACAAAAAAAAAAAAAATGCAGAGATTGGAAAAGATTACTAAGTATTTGAATTTTAATTTCAGATATATTGATTATTATCTTTTAAAAATAATTATATGAAATAATTAATTTAAATCTTGGCTAATTTAAATATTAGCAAAGCATTTTGAATTTGGGCATTTTAATGTCAATTTGCATTTGATGGCATGTGTTTGTTTACGGGGAAAAACTGCACACCCATTGGTAAATTGTAACCGGAATTTTAGATGGAAAATAGGCGCAGCTGGCAATTAGAGGTTTTTTAGGTTTATTTTGTGGCTTAAAATTGTTGACGTGGCATGTCAATTTTGCCATATGAATATTCCTTTCAACAATATTTTTTTAGAGTTAATATTATGAATTATTGTTAAATAATATTAAAATATTTAATATGATATTTAAATTATTAATTTATTATTTAATGTTATATTTGAAAACATTTTTATTCATCATATATTATTATTTGAAATTAATCACATTAAAAATAAATATTTTATTTATTAACAAATTTATAATTTAAATATTATATTAATTTTTTTAAAATTTAAATGTTATATTAAATATTTTACTATAATTTATAAGCTATTCATAACATTAACTTTTTTACTTAAAAAGTCTTATCACTTTTTTTAATTAAAAATATTAATTATATTACTTAAATTACTTAAAATGTTTAGGCAGTGATACAAAGCACTTTACCAAATCTCAACAATGACAAAAAAAATATATAATTTTATCTAATTATCCGTAAAAAACTTTATTGTCAAATTACTATCTATATAATAAGCATATTATATTACCCAAAATCGGATTCTCTCATTGGATATGTCTTTGTATTGTCACATTAGTATTTAGATTAGATAGTTTGTATATTTGTATTATATAAAATATTAACGATTTATATATTTATATTATATTTTATTCAAAAATTATATGTTATAATTTATGCTAATACAAAAAATATATATTTTATTTTATCAAAATCATATATAATTTTATTAAAATTTTAAATCGTGTAATTTTTATATTTTTTATATTATTTTTTAATCATATTTTTATATTATATTTTATATTATCAAGTGATAATATTCCTTTTGACTACTTTTATTAACTAAAAATGTATAAGCAGATAAATTAAATCACTTTTTCAGAGATTGACACAAATTAAGAAACTAGGACATACTTTTATTTACCAAATACAAATAGAAAATTTTATTATCCAAGAAGATCTGATCCGAGATTCTAAACCAAAAGGAAAAGGTTTGAAAAATCTGACAAAATAAATTGTTGACTTTGAGTTACACACGGAAATAGTTTGAAGAAAAATAAAGTAAAGTTGCACATTAAACCTTGAAAGACAACATAATTTGCTTAAAGATGAGAAACAAGAAACAACCTCTAGAAGAATAAGGTTCCACTTATAAACCGAAAATCATGTCAATACTCTAAAAAAAAAAAACCGTTTAGATTTGCAATTGAGAAAGGATTCTCAAAAGCATTATATCAAACGGTTGGTCTGCAAACTCCTACTAAAATCATTAACATCAAAGTTACCCTAAATATTCCAACCTATATCTTATAACTCAAAAAAAACCAAACATTCCACTTTCTTAATTAAAATGTAAAGAGATATAGTAAAGACAAGCGAAAAACAAATAATTTTACCAAATTGACATCTCAGATTAAATCAATTGTAATTACGGTGAATCTCTTCGGTCTAATGATAAGAGGAGGCACGAATTTTTTTAATGCGGTTTAAAACCATGTTACCGTATTTCTCTATTATCTTAAGAGCAAAAAATTAAATATCATCCAAAGTTAGCTAAAAGAAATAAACAGAAGTATAAAGACCGTGAGCTATGAGAAGACGTCATGCAAAAGAAGAATAAAGGAATGGATGGCCTTACAATAATCGGTCGCAGGTTCAAGCTTTTAAAGTGAGGATGACGTGACTCTCTAAATTTATGAGAATTGAAAGGTGGTTGAGGAAAACGACTGCCTTTGTATTCCCCAAACCGTATTTCAGAAAGTAGACACAATTGTTGCCAGCATAAATCAGCAAAAACAAGTAAATACTAAGAAGTTCAAATTACAAGTACATGGATCAAAGAAAGAAAATAAAAGATCAACTATAACTGGTCTATCGCAGAAAAATAAAAGGGATAATTACACTTTTAGTCCTAAATATTTAGGAGTTTTTTAATTTTAAACGTTATCAAATCTTATATTGTTGGGACATTTTCAAACAGATTTGATCAAGGAAACCTGACATGGCATTTAACGTGGATATGTTGTGCTATTGAGATATGCCTCAAGGTTCCTCTTCCTGTGTTTTCTCTTTTGAGTTTCCTTTTGTTGATTTTCGTGGGTTGGGGCACCATTTCTGACATAGGACTATCCAGCCAGAGCAAAGCATAAAACATGCTAGTACTAAACCTTTAATCTATAATGGGGAATATTTGGCATTGCCTCTTTTGATTTTCTTTTTTACTAGTTGCTAGTAATAGGCAATTCCTTCAGTCATGCGAGCAAAGAAAGTAGTTGAGGCGGAGGGCGTTTGGTGGCGCAGCGTGGGTGACATCCATGATTCGTGTTGGCCTGTTGCGCTGTCTTTAAGGTTAAAAAAAGTCTCCTCCAAAGCTTCTTTCTTTTGATTTGTCTCCACTCAATCTCGCCATATAAAAGCCACATGGCAGTCATACCAAATCTCAAATTCAGAGCACCCCTAGATAAAGACATTACACAGTCAAGTGAACTTAGCCACCTTGCTTAACTCCCAAATACAAAAAGCTTAGCTTTCGTTGTCACAGTTCTTTTTTTATTGAAAATTTCATGATTAAGACCCCTCCTGACTCGCGTTTTTTCGGCTCCTAAGAACACCCCCCCTTCGGCCTTCAGTAATAGACACAGATGTGTTTGAACCAATCTCGTGAAGGAGAGTGTCCTCGGGTGAAACATCAAATTTTAGATACTATTTGATTTAATTGTTCAAAAAGTTTCGCCGGCTTTAATCGGTCGACGGTCGTCACTCGGTATTGTGTTCTGAAGCCGGCCTGCCATATGGAATCTAATAAACCGCTTTGGATTTCTTGCCTTGACCAAGGAGATTCATACACTCTCTACTTACTATACAAGTAATCCCCTGCCTTTATTTTATCATAGACGTCCTTAATATAATAAAAAATATTAAAGATTTAATTTGAGCATAAATATTGTAAATGCTTTACAGTCGTTTGGAGTTTTTTTTTTTTTTTTAATTCCTTTTCCTTTATTTATTTCGCTGCATCTCAGTCGGTTTCTCTTTTTCTCATCGATCATCTGCAATCTGATTGAAAATTGAAAAGGTATTCTTCTCGAATACCATTTTTCGTTTACTTTTTAATGTTCATATTTTGACAGGACGTTACTCTAGAGGTTTTTTTTTTTTTTTGGAGGGGGGGGGGGGGAATTACAGAACTAAAAAATCATCAAATATATGTCTAAGAGAAAATATTCTTCATGCTGTCTAATACAAGGATTAAAGGAAGAATAAAAAGAACAAAGTTCACAAGAAAACTAATTACTCCAAGTTTAAAATTGAAGGCCATGCTCCCTAGCAGAAGCAGCAAGGGCTTCTATGCGTCCATGATACGGATATCCACCTCTGTCAAAGGCCACCTTTGTGATCCCTTTTTCCAAACAGGATTTTGCAATGAATTCGCCAACCCTCTTTGCCACTTCCTGAAGCCAGAGGATTGAAATATTAAGCAATTTTATCAAATTGAGGCAAAAAAAAAAAAGGAGAGGAAGTGGAACAAACCATGAGAAAGGCATCAAAATCTAAGCAGAAGTGGGAGATTGAAATTGGGCAGATAAGAGGTCAAGGTCCACTAGGAACAGCATGAACGTAGGTGAAAAGTAAATTTACCAATGGATACAAATAGAAACAGAGGAATATTGAAAAATCAACTATCAACACAGCTTGCCTACAAATCTAATATTAATGCGAGGAGGTGGAAAGGAGAAACACATGCACCTACCGCCTTATAGACCCAAGTGAGATTCACAAGTGCATGGCGAGGCAATTTTAGGAGAAAGTGGTAAATTAAGCATGATTCAAGACAAGTCCGGAAAGGGCCTAAATGTGGAACAATACTCGCCAGGAGAAGTCGAGCCTTTTTTGGTATTTCTTATGATCAAGTGGAAATAAGAAACACACACCAACAAAACATCAAAACGTGTATAACAGTTTACAAAAGCACCTGGATTCATTAAGTAAAAGAAGAACAAGGGTAATAAAAAACAGTTATAGTTATCATTCAGAATCAGACCAATGAACCAAAAAATGGATTCAATTCAGTTGACTGAACTCACAATGGTGGGACCAGATGAGTAGTGAAACTCCTCAGAAATTGGTTTGTGCATTGTTGAAGCAGAAGCAAGTGTGTGCAGCTTTGAGTCATCAATGACTTGGACATAGAGATGCTTGTTGGAGCGAAAGACACACAGTCTTGGTCTATCTGGTGTCCCTTCAACCTACAAAAGTAAGAAATCCTTGTGATAAAGTAGGGTATGCTAAAATGAGGATAAAGCCAGTAGATTTCATTCTGAGACATTAACATCATGTTCATATATCCACACTTTTTAACAGACAAAGATTACTCTCATCTCCATCTTTACTTCACATAAGAAGAGATTTGAATTTGGTCCTAAAGCATGTAAAAGGCATTTGAATTTCTTAAAGAGAGAATTGGAAGTAGCTTTAAAGAGATAATCATAGGTAGTAACCTTCTTTCTAATGCGAGAATGGCGGGCATGACGGTCTTGTGTTCTGGTGTGAGCTTTGGCTTGAACATTGAAGAGGAGAGTGGGTAACGATGGGTGTGGACATTTTTCATACGGCAGCCTCATGGGAATTCCCAAAAATGAAGTCTGATTATGATTGACAACACCAGGAAACTGTAATCTCATAGTCATGGTCATAGTCGTTCCCATACCCATCCCAGATTCCTGTCTATCTGCATTTCAATTTGAAACAAAAATCAGCAGATTATTTTTCTGAAACATGAACATAACCAAAAACAAACAAACCCATTATTATTACAAGGTTTGATTCAATTTTTTTTTCTGCTAGATTCTATCTGATAAAAATATTGCACGACACCTGCAGTGGCTGTCTATTATGCATCTACAGTAATTCAAAAAATGCAATTTTCAGCCAGTTAATCATTCCCAAAATGAGCACATATTGTGTTTAACGGCCCCATTATTGCTATGAATTATGAACAGTAGGATAATAATGGTTCTACGTCATACCCAATGCTCACTATAATAAACAACATAAAGCATCAAAGACAAAATGAAAACAATTACGAAGATCTAATACTTGAAATATTGTTTACCTACTTTGAAGGAGTATACTATCCAGTAAAATTTAAATAAAAAAAGAAAATCAAAGGCACAGGTTACTATTGCCCCATTACAACAGCTGATGTGCTGGAGCTCTTGGTGTGTGTCATTGAAGACTAATTGCAAACAATTTAAAGTCAGCCTTAAGTCGATCAATAAAATTCAAAGCAATTCAACTCAGATACTCTCGGAGAAAGAATTAAGAATGCTTAACACTAAAAAATTTCAGCATTTTCCTACATTTTCTCACCAACTAAACAGAAGACTCAAAATCTGAGACTAGAAGGATCCTAAGAACCGAAAATCACATATCAAGGAATCAAAACGTATAATTCCACCACAAACCATAAAAAAACACAGAACTTCCCAAACAGTCAATCAAAAAATTCCCTTTCAATTGTCCAACGTTTTCTCGCCAACCAAACAAAAAGACTCAAATCGAAACCTCAACTCAATCTCAGAACTAAAACTAAAATAAAAATAAAAACAACAAAAAAAATTCCTCAAAAAAATTTTTTAAAAAAAGAAGAAAAATGAATTATAGCAATAAAACTGAACGCACTTTAAAACGCACCGAGAAAGTGAACCGGATGGATTTCTGGAGAGTTTCGACTGGAGAAAGATAGAAGATAAAATGGAACCGTACAAATTGTAGAGAAGAGTGAAGAAAACCTTAGAGGGAAAAAGAAAGCGAAGAGAAGAGAAGATTGAAGCAAAGATGACGAAATTGAAGCTCTATTGATCAGCTTTTGCCTAGCTTTTATATTTATACAACAACGAAATCACTAAAAAAAATGAAGACTTTGGTTTTTTTTCTTCCGAAATTTATCCTCTAATTTTTGTTATTACATTGAACAAATTAAAACAAACAAAAGTTGGGGATAGCTTTTATTATTATTATTATTATTATTATAAAACTGATTATGCCATACCTGCTTTGAGTTGGAATGAGTTGTGTTGTGACTGTAAGAGGAGTTTGGAACTTGGACAGAAAGATAGAAGGATAAGCCTTTAACTATTGGGGAAGGAAAGGCGCTTAAAGTCATTGTACTCTTTTGCTGCGATCAGCTCACTACGTCGTCACCGAATAAGAGAATTTACTTGTTAGTATTTGGGAAGAAGTAAAAAGGTTTTATTATCAAATCATTTTTAATTATAAAAGGAATTTGTAATTTTTTTTACATTTCAATATATGTTAATATTAGTATATGTGATCTATAGGTAAAACATTAGATATTATAACCTTAATTATAAATGCAAATAGTGAAACACAAATCTTTATTTCAAACTTCAAACTATAATTTCAAAATTTTCAGATTTACATTTTCAAAAAATTTCAAAAATTTTTAAATTTATAAATTTGAAAACTTTTAAAAACTCCAAATCTAATATCTAACTTACAAATTTAAAAACTTTTTAAAACATATTTCCATAAATCACCATTTTACAAAAAAACAAACACATATTACAAACATAAACCCATTCAATCATTCAAACATCAACTGCTTTTCATTCTATACAAGTAAGGGTCCAAAACTTAAATCAACACTTACAAACACCCAACCCAAATGTCAAACAATCATCCTTATGGGATTCTTTTATTATATAGTTATATAATATATATATATATATATATATATATATATATAACTGACACTTTTAAAACCATTTGATTACCGTCTGTCAAGATCTTCCATTGCTTTATTTTTTTTTACTTATTTTTCAAGAAACGCATATATGATTGACACTTGGAAGTTCAGTTGATTGTTATTTATTAAGACTTTTCACAACTTTTTTTTTTTTTATTTTTTTTTTTAAAAAAAAACATTGATATACCTGTGTATATTGTTAGTACTTGAAAGTCAAATTGTTGCCATTTATCAAGATCTTTATGATTTTCTTCTATTTTATTTTTTGAAAAATATTTATGTATCTATGTATATGCATATAGATGACATTTGGAAGTCCAATTGATTACTTTTTTTTGTCTCAAGATATTTGTTATGTATTAATTTTTAAAGAGTTTAAGAATAAAATTTTGATTTTAATGTATTTGATATTATTTTTAATTTTTTATAAAATTAAAATTTTATGATTTTAATATCAAAAAATAAAAAAATCATAAAAATAATTTTAAAATATAAAAAATAAGAAGTTTAAATGTTCAAAAAACAATAAGACATAATTTGAGGATATTTAAAAAAAAGGGGGACAGAGGAAGTATCATTTATCATGACTGTCACTTTTTTTTTAATTTTTTTTAAAGACATAAAAGAAAAAAATATTTTCAAAATAGAAAATAAAAAATTTAAAAGAAATATATATATATATAATTATAATAGTAATTGAAAGTGAAAATTCTGAAAAATAAAAAATATCGAAACAACCAAATAAATAAACAATTATTTTTAGCCTGTACAACCATCCACAAAAAGAAAAAAAATATATTTTTTGTTTTTTTTTATCTAAATCAAATCAAAAAATGAAAAAAAATAAGATACAAAGATCACAACCCAAAGAAAACAATAAAAAGAAAGAAAAAATAAATAAAGATATCTTATGTTACGGATTTGACTGTTTTGAATCGGTGAAATGATAATATAATATAAGACAAAAGAAAGAAGTTTTCGATGATTTTTTAAGAAAGATTATTAAAAAATATATATTTACCAAACACAACTTTAATATCTAAAAACTAGTCAGAAATAAAGAGTCTATTTTTATGGACCGTAAATTTGATTTCTGAAATTGAAAATAATAGACTATAAATCGATAAAAAGAAGTGTGTTTGACTATAAATATAATTATAATGAAAAAAATTGAATATGACAGACTATTGTTTAAATAAAAATATTTATTATTATAATTGAATTTTTTTTTTCAATTTTTTTATAAAAACAGGCAACTGACTTCTAGAGATCATGAAACCACTGAATCCTTCCCCTTACAATTAGAGACAATAACTTGAAACTGTATCGCGAGATGCTATCTAAACGCATCTTGTGCAACAATTGAGACCCCCTTTTAGTCCGAATTCTATAGCATTTCGGAATCCAAAAATGGACTAAGCTTACTGAACTTCCAAAGACATAAAGGTTAGCTTTTTATTATTTATTTGTCGAAGTTTACATTTTGAAGTTAATCTTAATATTGATAAGTTAACACATTAAAAGCTAAAATAAAACCCAAAAATGGCGTATACATGAAAAAGTTGGTTCTTCATCTTAATTTGAGTTGTAAGTTACAATCAGTTGGGAAAAAGGAAAAAGTGGTTTACCAATTAGAAAGTGAAGACAAAGGCAAAAAGCCTATTACCCCCAGCCAAGCAGAAGAAAGAATCAGGGGTAGTTTTGACTTTTGATATTTAGCCCATTATCTCTCTCACTCGCATAAGAAGTATGGGGCCAGGAGAATCGGGACCCTTCCCTTTTCTCTTGTCTCTTCCTCGTTCCTTTCTCTGTTTTATGCTGTCAAAATATCATCTGAGAGTGGTATAATTAGCAGGAATCGCGATAATAATATTGAGAGGTGATTAAAAGGCGTTTTCTGAGATTAGAAATATGAGTAGTGTAGTTAGGTCTCAAGGAAGCTGCGTGGCGATCAGCTCTCTCTCTCCTTCCTCTTCCATCAACCGTTGCCCCCACGCCTCTGCTGCCTCAGGTATATTAGTCTCTCTCTCTTTGTAATTCGATGCTCATTTTTTAATTGAAAAAAAAATATATTTCAGCGGTTCTTACTTCTTAATCCCTTTCTGCAAAGGTGTAGATTATAGAATTGTTGGTATCATTTTTTTGTAGGATTTATGTTTCTGAGGTAGAACTGAAAATTTAAAAAGAAAAAAGAAAAAATGATAATGAAGAATAGTTTTTCAATAGAGAAGATAAGCACTATCTCAACGAATCTGGTGTTTCGATGGTGGACATGGATTCTGTGATTTCATTCAATTCAAGTCCACACACACATAAAAAAAAAAAAAAAAACTTTTCTGATTATTCTCCATTTGGCGTGAGAGAAATGGGATCAATTTCAGCAATGATTTTAGAGAATTTGAGTTTAACCATTAGAATCTTCACTCATGGATCTCTCTTGACTCATTATGCCGGATTTGAAGCAATTTAGGGTTTCTGTTAGCGGTCCAACCATCTTAACTTAGTTCCATCATTATCCGTCATTTCAACGTGACCCCTACAATGAACGGTCCATGATTAGACTAGACTTCTCCTCATCAAACACATTAAAATGTCACCCGCACTTGAATAAACCCCCTCTCCTACGGAAATCATAAATCTGATGATTAGTTTTGACGAATCCAAGAATACTTCATGCTGGATTTTTTCTTCTTTTATAACAAAATTTTAGATTTTGTGTACTCACAAGATAGGCCACTTTTCATGTACCTGATTTTGGTACGACGCTGACCGTCTGATGTGAAGTTTGGTTCAATCTTTGCAACTACGATAAAGAAGTCTTATCTTTAATAATCCTCTTTTTTCTGTTCTAATGTTTGCTTAGAATTTACTCTATTCACTTTCCGTTGAAGATTCCCTCACGCGTGCTCGTAGAGCGTGTGCTGAGATTCCGACCACTTTGGATCAAGTGCTCACATGAGAGACGATACGTGTTCCATGTGGTCGGGGAAGCCGTCCCACAGTGACAGTCATACGCGTGTCTAAATTCTAGACCAACCCCTACCCCATTGTTTTAGCTTTTCATTCTTTGAGTTTGTCGGGTGATTGCGACAGTACAATAGGCTTAAATCAACCAACTTTCTACACTGCCACACGCAAAAATATTAAATGTTGGGCTTTGTCATATCGATTACAAGTTTAGGAGCGCGTGCACGAGAACCTCGTCTCTTGGGTGAGGGTGACCCTGTCCGTTAATGGGAGTAGCCACTAGGCCAGTCATCTGGTGGTGGTCCCTACCATTTTTGTATAAGAGTGCCACTGGGAAAGAAGAAATGACTGCTCTATGCACTAATGATTTGTTTCATTAAAATCCAAAATTCACGGACCAATTCTTCTCGCTGAATGCAGCAAAATTAACTACGGAAAAACCAAGTTTCTGGACCACCTGAATTTTATTTTTTATTTTTAAGTATTACGAGTTTTTAGAGTTGAAAGCCTTTTGAGAGAATTTTTATTATAATTATTGTAGTATAATTAATTAATTATAATTTCAAATTATGTGAGATTCATTTCATTTATAACTGATGAGTTTTTATATAAAATTTTTATTATAATTAAATAGTTGAAATATTATAATAAAAAAATTATAGGTGATATGCTCTCTTACCTTTGAGATCAACAGATATGAAATGGTTTGGCGTAGCTCAGTAGCTCTTGGGCCAGGTTGCTAAGCATAAAAAATAGTCTAGCTTCTGCTTGTTTTATGGTAGTTCTTTTTTTTTTTTTTTGTTATTTCATTTTTGGTTTGAAGCTGTGACTGTTAAATAAAATTCGGATGGAAAATGTAAAAAGAAAGAGCTCCAATGGTTGTATGCAGATGCTGCAACGTCTGGGACGCCTGCTTGGATTGGCAAGGGCCTTACTTGTGTTTGTTTCAAGCGAAAGGGAGCTTATGAACGGATCTGCATTAACTTGACACCCCAACAGGCAAGTACATGATGTTCATTTCCATTATTATTGGACCGAAAGAACACAGCATTAAAAGTTACGTATTTACTCACGTTAATCGAGAACAAAAAATGTTTCTCAGAGTAGAGTTAGTTGCCACTTTGTCTTGAGTTTGCCTTGGTAGGTTCAATACCATAGCACTTGCCACATTGCAGGTTTAAACCGTTTTTATGCATTATATTAATTAAGCTACTATTCCGTTTTTGTGATTTCTCTTCTGAAATTTCTTGACATTTTGTCATATAATTATTTAAACTTATTCTTGTAAACTCCCCCTAAGTAATAGTTTTGCTAGCAAATTTGCAGGAAGAAAGATTGAAGAGGTTGAAGCACCGGACGAAGGTTTACTTTGATGCTTCCAGGCCTGATCACCAGGTTTGCTTTTTACATTTCTTTTCTTTTTTCATAAATTTGACATGTTTACATTGTAGAGGTGCTTTACACTATTTCATTGTCTATTGAGGACACTAACTTGAACTGGAGGGCCCTATGTTCTCCTGAGAACAACCAAATCTCCATACACATTAGGATCAGTTCTATGTGCATTTTTTGTTGAAATATTTTCTGACAGCCCACTTACTGAAAATTTTCATGAGAATAGGAAGCCCTTAGAGCACTATGGTCTGCTACATACCCTGGAAAGGAGCTTCATGGCTTGATATCTGATCAGTGGAAAGAAATGGGATGGCAGGGAAGGGATCCATCTACTGATTTCAGGTTGGCTTTATTTTACAGCTTTTGTTTGGTATATCCTTTCTTTTGTTCTGTGTCTCTGACTTTTTCTTCCTGGTCAACAGAGGTGCTGGATTCATTTCTTTGGAGAACCTGTTATTCTTTGCCAAGACATTCTCGGTAAGTATACGAATCTAAGTTTTCTAAACAGCTAGCCAAAAACTGTCAAGACTGGAGAGCATTGTTGGATTAAGTGACAGTTCTTTTTTCCATGTCATTTGTGCTTACCTCTGTTTATTGTATCGGATAATACAAATATCACTTTCTGAGAGGATCAAGTGTATAATTTTAGTAGCCACGGCTGCCACGTGAAGTACCATCACTATAATGCATTTTTCAATCTGAGACTTGTCACTTGTTATTGCAGACATCATTTCAACGTTTATTAAAAAAGCAGGGAGGAAAGCGAGCTGCATGGGAGTATCCATTTGCCGTTGCTGGTGTAAATATCACATTCATGATCATACAAATGCTTGACCTTGATGCGAGTGAGTGGAAAATGGACACCTTAACTATGTTATTTCAACTTCTGAATATCCTATCGAGTAATTTGACTTTGAAGTAAAGTATTTTAGTATGATTTCTCATTCATTAGTCTGACTATGTTGCTAATGCTAACTTACTTTTGCCTGGAATTAGTTCATTTATCGTGAGGCTGTAAAAGCTAATATAAACTTATTCATTTGCAGCAAAACCTAGGACATTTATCAGATCAGTTTTCTTGCAGATGTTATCAGGTAAGAGCCTGCAACTAATCCTAGTGAAAAAAAAAAAAAGCAAATGGCTCAGAATCTAATATACAAATGTAATACTTAGCAATTCTGGTTGAATACAAACTAATACATGCATCCACTAATTGACTGGATCATTTCTCTCTGATTCCCTTTTCTCCAATGACTGTTCAGAAAATGAATGGGCCTTTGACTTGCTTTACTGCATGGCTTTCGTTGTTATGGACAAGCAATGGCTGGAGAGAAATGCCACTTATATGGAGTTCAATGTGAGAAGCCTAATATCCTTTCAAGTTCTTGCTTATAATATTGCACCTATTAAAATTCAATTTTCCCAATAGGTGCATGCTTGCATAGACAATAGTTTTTTTGGTTGGTTGTAAAACCTTATCTGCATGTGTTTCTTCAGGATATTTTAAAATCAACCAGGGCTCAGCTGGAGGGAGAACTTTTAATGGATGATGTGCTACGGATTGAAGACATGCCTTCTTATAGCCTTCTCTGTTAGCGATAACCAAACTGTAATCAAGCAGAAGTCCCCAAATACTACTAGTTCAGTCCCATTGTATATTTATTTTTAACGTTAAAAAAGTTGTACAATCCCCTCTTCTGTCCCTCTTTTTCTGGTAAATGAATCCATAATATGCTCATCTTTTTTATACACGTTACTTCTCCTTTGATGGATTCACCAACACTCTGAACCCCAACAGTTGAAAATTTGTAATCGAAATTGTTTGGTTTTGAGTTTGAGAGGTTCCATTATAAAAACTCAAAAGGTAGATATTATTTGATTCTAATATATGCAAAGCGTAACGCTGCATTTAATGGGAGACTAAGATTTGCATTTTTTTTCTTTTTTCACAAAAAATACTTTTAAATGAGAAAAAAACATTTATTCAACTTGAATTAGAAATTTTATTTATAATTTTACCCATAAATCTTTTTTTTATTATTATTTTTCAGCTTTCATACTAAATACATTGAAAAAAATATGTAACTTTCCATTTTTTCCTTTCTTCACTTTTTTCTCCTTCCTCCACTTTCTTGCGTTTCTACCAAGTATAGTGTGAGCGTAATTTAGATCAGAGAATAAATTTTATAATAGGAAATGGGGAATAATATTTTAGTGATCAGGATCTCTGCTCCCCGGCAACAAAGTCCCACAAAGCACTAACAATTTGGTAAGTACCAACAATTAGATTTATGAACTTACGAGAAAATGGCCTTAGTTCATTGAATTCCAAACAGTGGTTGGTACTAAATTGAGGAAAATGTCAAATTTGAAAATTTTCATGATGTGAGAAACTTAAGCTGTCAAATGGATGGCTAACATTTTGATTCTTGGGTCTTGAGATTTCCTGCAGTGGATTTTGTTGGCTTATAGCCTCTCGTATTAGGAGAGTATAATTAAACATATAGATTATTATTCCATTGTATAATTTTAAAATTTTTAATTATACAATCAAATTTATAGGATTGACATGTCTGTTTATAAGGTTGGAAAATTTAACAAACAAGCATAGCTCAATCTTGTAAGGTTACAAAAATTAATAGATAAAAACCAACAATTATATAATTGTCAGTAGAAAATTAAATTTTAATTTTAATGATCAGAATTCATTCATTGACAACCATAAATAACAATATATTTATATATATATATATATATTACAATTTTAGAATATTCTTAAAAGAACTAAAAAATTGTCTCTTTTATGCCAACTGATTATGGTCCCTAGTCTTAAGTTAGAAGCCTTTTGTCTGCATACTGAGGCGGCAAAGCAACTCCATAGATGATAGGTCTCACTTCCCCTTTTTCTAGACAGGTACTTGCAACTATAAAGTAATAGAGCTTGTTTTTAAGTCTTGGCACTCTTGGCATCAAATCCTCAAAATCGCCACACCTAAATCCATCCTTGAATGAGGGGCTAATGAAAAGGAAAAGACACCTTAACTCCAATTACGTCTTATTAAAAAAGGTAAATGAGGTGGAATGTGTTGGGTTGAAAATGATTCACTAACCGCTCCCAAGTCGCATGAATATTATATTATCTTACCTAACCAAAATGGAATCTCATCAAAGTTAATGCAAATTGGAAATCTTTGACCTTCACAATTGTGTAATACTCCATATTATTACTAGCTAAACATGGTGGAGGGCAGACCACTTGCTCAAGACTGAACCATTGCACAAGATGGTTCAGATTCTCCAAGCCAGTGTAATGGAGGCCTGATCCCTCAGTCTGATCATTTGCATTGTGCAGTTCAATCACGTTACAAAAGCATAACTGTTCTTGAGTCTGACATTCTAACATGGGATTGCAAAACTATTCCGTTCGGGTACAGATTGCTTCGGAATCAAGTTCCTGTTAAATCTAATCTAAGACTTTACCTAAGTTGAATGTTCATGTAATACATAAAATATAATGCTTGATTAGTAACACATACCTGGATAAGAAACGTCATTTTATTCTATTGAAGAAGGAACCTTGGCTTAACTTATTAAAATGGGGAGAGTCATATTGTGCTTTTTCATACTTATATTCAAAATAAAAAAGGAGAGGGAAAGGCTGGACCTGGAAAATCCACAAAACTGGATGACCCTTGAACCTAAAGCTTCAGGAGCACCTACCTCTGTAAGTCTTATCTTTTAAGCAAAAACTCACACCCAAAAGCTCACAGCCCATTATTCTTTCCCTGATCATGGTTTGGTTGCTTATCAAAGAACTCTAACCAGCAGCTTCCACCTTCTTGTAGTCCAAGTGTCCTAGCCAAAGCGTCCAGCTTCTAGCAGTTTCAAGTGTCCCAGCAGAAGCTGTCATTGACGCACAGATCATCAGATGGGATCATTCCAAGCGCCTCCTGCAATGAGAAGCTCCACATTGTTAGAAACTTCATGTGGATATTTACTTCAAGAATTGCAGGCAAGAGTTTTTTCACTTTTTTCCCCTTTTCATATCTTACATGCGCTTTGGTTGTAATCTGCTCTACACTTACTGATATTTGTAATGGAATAGATGATATGGGATGAAGTTGGAGAAGATCAGTTAGAAAGAGAAAAGGTTCTACTCGAATTAGAACATGAGTGCCTGGAGGTCTACAGGAGAAAAGTTGACCGTGCAAATATATCAAGAGCTCGCCTGCATCAGGAATTGGCAGAATCTGAAGCTGAATTTACTCACCTTCTTTTGTCCCTTGGTGAACGATCTCTTCCCGGACGGGTACCTTATTTAGCAATCTCTGCCCTGTTTGAAGCTAGCGTTCATTTCATTAATTTATTGCTGGGTTTCATAACCTCCTTCTACTTATTGTCTGCGCAGCCTGAGAAAATGTCAGGAACACTGAAGCAACAACTTGATTCAATTACTCCAGCATTGCGGGATATGCGGTTGAGGAAAGAAGAGAGAGTGAACCAGTTCCAAGCTGTACAAGGCCAAATTCAGAAAATATCTGCCGAAATTGCTGGTCAGTCCGAGTATGACGACTCAGTAACAAATGTCACCGTGAACGAGAACGATCTTTCTTTGAAGAAACTTGAGGAATATCAGAATGAGCTACAACGACTCCACAATGAGAAGGTACAATAATTTCCTCGAAATTTTATTAAGGAATCTGTACAGAGGAATCATCCTGAATTCCTAAGTAACATCTTATACTCTGTTTTCCTGTTTCATTCTTCTGAAGAACAACAGACTCCAGCAAGTGGAAAAATATATAGCGGCTGTTCACAATTTGTCTGCAACCTTGGGAATGGAATCCTCCATGATTATTACAAAGGTTCACCCAAGCTTGAATGAGTTGTGTGGGATTTCAAAAAACATAAGTGATGGTATTTTGGCCAAACTCAACAGTACCGTGGAGTCTCTGCAAGAAGAAAAACAAAAGCGTCTTGAGAAGGTAAAATGCCATGCCGGCATTCTTGTGAACAGATCTTGTCAGAGGAGCTGGCACTATGATGTAGGCCTGTAGCAAAAAGTAAATAGTTCTTAATTGTTATCTTATCACATAAATGACAACATAAACATAAATCACGGTAAAAACAGAAGCCTTTGATTAATGGAGTGATTAACCTTTCCTTCCTCAATTAGCCAAGAATGACATAAGATTCCTCCGCGATCACTTGTTCTTCCTTTTCCTTGATAGTCATGAGAAAATCTTTGGCTCAATTTCTGTCAACTTTGCAGCTTCACCAACTTGGTAAAGCATTGAAAAACTTGTGGAGCCTAATGGATACACCCTATGGAGATCGCTATTTGTTTTCCCACATTATTGATCTATTATCAGTCTCATCAGCAGAAGTATCTGATCCTGGAAGCCTTACCCTGGAGATAATCCAACAGGTTGGTGTATAAGATCATCATCACTTCGAACTATCAAACAACTATATATTAAAAGTTTTTCTTAATGTTTCAAGGTTGAAGCAGAAGTCAAGAGATTGGATCATTTAAAGGCAAGCAAAATGAAAGAGCTATTTCTCAAGAAACAAAATGAGCTTGAAGAGATATGCAATAAATCACACATGGAGATTCCTTCAAGATTAGAGATGGAAAATATACTAAACCTCATAAACTCAGGTGGGATTAACCAGATAACATCTATTTTCAAGATAATTTCTTTTGTACTTGTTTAAGTCTAAAGTAATCCATGATCTAACTATATCCCACAAAAGGGGAGATTGACCATGCCGATCTCCTCATGAGCATGGATGAACAGATATCAAGAGCAAAGGAAGAAGCCTCCAGCAGAAAATCAATAATGGAGAAGGTGGAAAAATGGATACTAGCAAGTGATGAGGAGCGCTGGCTGGAAGAATATAGCATGGTTAATGACCTCACAACAATTTATCTGCATAATTAGTTAGTTCTCTCTCTCGCTGAACCTGTTTAACGTTTCCTATTTCATAAATATTTTCAGGATGAGAAAAGATATTCAGTCAGGAGAGGTGCTCATAGGAACCTGAGACGTGCAGAAAGGGCCCGAGTAACAGTCAACAAAATCCCAGGTAAAATAGAAAAGTTCCTCCATATTAGAAAAATTCATTCCCTATCCATCAAAAAGAAAAGAACAAGAAAAAAAAAAAATAAAAACCTTATTCCTATAGAAGCTGAAACTCATTAAAGCCCTCGTCGCGTTGACCTACTTTTGTCAAACCGGAGAAATTTCTACAAGGTGCATAAGCATAACTAATAGTACACTGAATTCATTAACTAGCCTGAGCAAAACAGTTATAAAAATGTGCCAATTAAATCACTGAAGCATGTTTTTTTCAAGTGTCAAACCAGTGAGCCTTATTGTGAGCATGAATGTATATATGTATGTATGTATGTACGTATTTATTTATTTATTTTTTTTTGAACATATGAATTTTCACAAAATGATTTCATGCAGCATTGGTGGATTCACTCATAGCAAAAACTAAGAGTTGGGAAGAAGAAAGAAAGAAGGTTTTCTTGTATGATGAGGTAAGATCATATATTCCTCTGATTACAAAATTGACAAACATTCGCTTCTTTGATTGTGTGATGATAAGATGTATGTACTGAAAATGGAAAAAGAAGCACCATCCTTCACCTAAAGTTAAAACACAGGCCAGTAGTTTGAAAACGGTATGATTAATATAAAAAATCCAACGTAATCAGAAAAACATTAGCAACTAAATTCAGCAGAAGTGGTTCGATTTTAATGTTCTGGACTTCCGATCTAACATTACTCCTAATTAGTTATTTCTGAACTACCACATGCTTTTACCTCCTGGATCAATTCAAATAAGTATTTCAATTCAACTTAAGACACACCCTCCCTCCAAATGACTTTACAAGCCACTCAAACATTGAAGCAATTAATTCCTCCAAAGAAGCGTTTTTTTTCTTCTTTAGATCATTAAACCAACTCCCAGAAATACTAAACCATTTCGTTCTTATTTAATGTCGAAAAGCTTCATCTGCAAGTTTAACACTAACTTTAATTCGTTATAGATCCAGGTTGCCTCACATCAAGATAGGGATCTCGAGATCTATGTAGAGCTGATATAATTATACACCTGAAACTATTTCTTGTTCCAAATTTTAAATCTTATGCAATAATTTCGAACTGGAGGTTCTTTTTTGAGTATGATTATATAGCATTAGCCAGATATGGTCCACAAAAACCTTACTAAAATAGATCATAAGATGTTAGCAAACCAAAGAAAGTTTACAGGTAAATCATTATGGAGAGCATCAAGACATGGAACTCTGAACTCTTGAACTGATTACTTGGAACCCTAGGTTTAAAAACTCTCTATGCACTAAATTGAAATTATGGTTTTGATATAATATCTCAAGCACGACTAATCAACTAAACAAGCTGCTATGTTGGAAATGACATCTATGGTTATCTAGGTACCTCTTTTGGCAATGTTGGAAGAGTACAACCTGTTTAGGCAAGAAAGAGAAGAAGAAAAGCAAAGGCAACGGGTCAGTATAATTCCACATTCAACCAAACTAGAATACCCATACCTAATTTTGAATGAGATAAAACATTTTTCAGGATATGAAGAAGGTCCAGAGCCAGGCAGTCGTTGAGCAAGAAAACTTCATTGCATCCAGGCCAACCACCAGCAATCGGCGCCTTTCAAACAAGAGTTTAAATGGAGGTTTTGGCAATTCAACCCCTTCAAACCGAAGGCTTTCTCTGAGTATTCAACAGTTAGGGTCAAACAGCATAAACTCAGCAACTCAAAGTAAATCCTTGATAAAAGAAGGAAAGAAGGTGCAAGGAAAAAGGATATTTCCTCTACCCAACTCCGCATCTCAACTAAGAGATGAAGCAGCTTCAGTGGTATCAACATTTTCCGGGCCCTTGTCGCCTTGAAATTATGAAATCCAATTCTGATTCAATTCACTGGAAAAAGCTAATTGTAAGTTTGAAGAAGGAAAAAAAACAGATACGTTTGCAGAAAATAAATTCAGTTTGTTAAGTCAGTTTGAGAGGAAAAAAAACTGTTTTATCTGTTATCCTTGTGTTTATAATGAAAACTACAAAATGAAAACCACAATACTCTGTTGATTTCATTGATGTAATCAAGAATATATATACAAATGACAAAGAATGATTTACAATACTTGAACAGAAAAATAGAAAGTAACTTTAAAAGGAAAGAACTAACCAAGAATAGAAACTATTGCCTAGCGGTCAATCGAAAAACTAGGAGAGTTAAGTGGATGTGATTTTGCCGGTATTATTATTGCATATAAACATGGAAGGTCTTTGATTTGATGAGCTGCGGTATTGCAAAGCACTGAGGAGATTGAGCTGTAATATTGCAACTGCATTGAGTAAATTGAGGAGCTAAATTAGCTCTAGTAATATGCAATCTTTAACAGCCCCCCTCAAGCTGGTGAGGAAGGGACTCGAACTCCCAGCTTGCTGAGCAGACGCTGGAAGTCTTCTGCACTTAACCCTTTTGTGAGGATGTCAGCCAACTGCCATTGAGTTGGTACGTACTTGGAACTGAAGAGCTAACGATGAAGGTGATCTCGAATGAAATGGCAGTCGATTTCAATGTGCTTGGTTCTTTTATGAAACACAGGGTTGGTAGCAATATGAATTGCAGCCTTGTTATCACAGTACAAGTCAATTGTATTATTTAAGGGAGAAAATAGTTCTTTCATCAGCCAAATCATTTCAGCCACTATAGCAGCCATTGCTCGATATTCAGCTTCTGCACTGGATCTGGAGACAACATTTTGTTTCTTTGACTTCCAGCTGATAGGAGATTCACCTCAGAAAATAATAAAATCAGTGATTGATCGAAGTGTGGTTGAGCATGTAGCCCAATCTGAATCACAAAAAGCTTTTAAATATAAAGTGTTATGACTGGGATAGAAAACACCTTGTGAAGGAGTTCCTTTGATATATCGAACAAGTCTTTTTTGCCATGTTCCAATGGGGGACTCGTGGAGTTTGCATGAACTAAAGAGGTGAGCTCCATATGCTATGTCGGGTCATGTGAGAGTGACATATACGAGTCGATCAATGAGGCGTCTATAAGCTTCCGTATCTTCAAAAAGTTTTCCTGCCTTCGCTGACAGATGATGTTGCTCCGAGATTGGTGTCCTAGCTTAAGTGGCTTGCTATAGTCCCATTTCTTGAACTATGTCTTTGGCGTACTTATGTTGGTTAAGAAAAATTCCATCGCTGGTTTGTTGAATTTCTAGTCCTAAGAAGTACTTCGAGGAGCCGAGGTCTTTGATTTGAAAACAACCATTAAGTATTCTTTAAATTCTCTGTTTTTTGTTTTATTGTTGTCAATATATAGATATGTAGACCAATTATTAGACATAATAAAAAAATTATCACTAATTTTTTTTTTTTATATACAATTGACTACGTAATTGTATCTATTTTGTTTTTAAAAAAAGTTTCAAGTTTTACTTAAATATCTTTAAAAGGTAAATTCAATATTTATGAAATTAAAATTAAGTTCGAGAGTATGATTACGTGTGAAAAAGTTACAACGCTCTCACAACGCCTATCAAAGCATAATATTAGCTTGATTTCATGTTATCTATTAAATTTTTTAAAAAAAAAATTATCAGATAGTTAATATTTTATAATTATTCTTAATTGATTCTAATGCTTTTAGTAAAAAATTAAAAAAAATTTTCACTTTAAAATTATACAAAAAAACTATTATTTCTCTTGTAAAGGTACTGTTGTCAAATCATTTAATATTTATTTTCTTTTTACGAAATTCTTTAAAAAATTTTAATTTTAAAAAAATTGATATTTCAACTTTTTTCTCAAATTTCTAAAAATTTTCATTTAAAAATATATTAATATTCAACTCTTTCCTTAAACATTTTTAAATTTTTTTTTTATTTTAGAAAAATTAATAATTCAATTTTTCCTTAAAATATTTTTTTGAAATATTTTTTATTTAAGAAAAATTAATACTTCAATTTTTTCTAAAAATATTTTTCTGAAATATTATTTTATTTAAAAAAATTGATGCTTCAATTTTTTCTTAAATATTTGTTGAAATATTTTTTATTAAAAAAATTAATATTCCAAAATTCATCATTTTTTGAAATAATTTTTTTATATATATTTTAAAATTCACTCAAAAGAAATAATAAATAAATAAGCAAAATAACAAAAGAAAAAAAATTCCAAAAACAAATTGCACCTCGGCTCAAAAAATTAGCTTAGATTGTCGGCTATAGACTCAGGATCGGCTTAGAAGCTCTTCGGCTCTAGACTCAAGATCGGCATAGAAGCTCTGTGACTTGGCTTCGGCTTAGAAATGGCTTCATAGCTCAGGTCAGGTTTGTGAAGAGGGTCGCGATCGAGTCGGGTCTTTAAGTGGGCTGGCGCGCGATCTTTTAAAGGATCCGGTTCTTCTTTTATTCCCCAACGACGTCGTATTCAGTCAATTATAAATTGTGTTTTTTTCAACCTTTTCTTTCATTTTCATTTTTTCTCTCTCTAGGTTCCAGATGAAAAAGCTCAGCTCTTTAAGCCTTCCCCAAAAACTAGCACCGGAGCTTCAACCGCGCCGCCATCTGTCGTCACTGTAAGTCGTCCACCAGCGACAGAAAACTGCAAAATTTTAGAATCAATCCTTTCAGCCTCATCTTTTGGTTTATAAGATTAGTTTCCTTCGAAAACGTCCAAAGCGGCCTAGATCTGCAGTTGAAGCCATAGCCTTTTCTCCCTCTTCTCCGCCGCTCTGATGGCCGCCGTCTCCAAGTATGTTCTCTTCCTTGCCTTTGTGTATCTTTTCAGTATATTTGGAGACTCGAAACTTCCTGGAGGAAACCCAAACTGAAAGCCAAGAGGAGGAAAAAAAATCTTTGTTTCTTCGTTTCTAGTTTTTTGTTAGTTTGCTTCCTTTTTTGGCTTATTGACAGGGGATGATTGATGGAGAGTTGAGGATGGTGGCAGGATCGGTTCTTGGCTTTTGGTTGTTTTAAGTGTGTGGTTACATGAGTTCGTGTGAATTTGTTTGCCTTCTGCGTTGTCTTGAGTTGATTGTTGGCGTGGATAGGGAAACTATCAACGGTTGTGGCTGGGAATTGGATGCTAGACTGCTCTTTTTTGTTTGGTGATTGGTGGGACTGGGTAACTGGGAATGGTTTGACTAGAAATGGGGAATAGCTTAAGGGACGGCTCAGTGTGGCTATAGATTGCTAAATTGTTGGGTTCAAGAGACAGTAAGCTTAGCTAAGAAATGGTTGCTATCGGTTTGGGTTGACAATAGGAATGGAGGCAAACTCGTGCTGGTTTGAGGATGCTGGTGAACTTAAGACTTGCTCACTGGTTGTTGAATCTTGCTTACTTGTTTTCTGTTTCTCACTACTGTGTTTCTCTTATTTACTGTAATTTTCCTCTTTATTGGGTTGAATTTGGGTTTTTGTGGTTGTGAAATTGGATGGTTTCAGGCGACAGTGAGCTACTAGTTGTCTGGATTGGGTCTATGTTTTTGAATTTGCTTGGTTTGTGTTGGTTTTGGGTGTGATGAGGTATAGTAAATAGCTGGCAGTGTGGAAATGGAATGTGTGAAGAAAGGTATTAGGTCCATTGATATGGCAATAGGCTGTGAATTTTTGTTGGTCGAATTGATATTTCTGTTTTTCCTCTTCCTTTTTGTGTTCTGAATAACAGTTTAAATAAAGATAATGAAGATAGGATTTCAATTCAAAAATTAAGCATCATATCCCCTTCAATTTGAATTTTAATTTCAAGGGGCAATTGAATTTCAAAAATTTAATCCACCAAATCTTATCACTTATTTTTTCTCTCTTTTTTTATCTTTTATTTTTCATTTCTAGAATAATAATAATAAAAGAAAAAATAAATAAATCAAGAAATGGGCTATTGATCAATAAAAACAAATGGCTTGCTTTGGGTTCAAAACTCATATCATAAAGCCAAACCAAATGGGTTAAGTTCAAAGCTCTATTCAAACAAACTCGAGATTCAAGAATAACCCAAGACGAAATGGAGTGTCTACATTTATCTTCTACAAAAATTAGATCATCACATACACGAGTATGATAATAAAAGAACCTTTACCTGTTAAGATGAACAAGGAGTGATCAACTTGGCTTTAGTGAAAACCATAGGCAATGGGAGCAGATGAGAGTTTAGCAAACCACTGACGAGGGGCTTACTTAAGTCCATGTAGTGACTTATTTAGTCTGCACACCAAATTTGGATTGTTAGAAGAATATCCTGGTGGGGGTTGCATGAAGACTTCTTTTTCAAGATCTCCATGTAGGAAGGCATTGTTGATGTCAAGTTGATCTAACTCCCATCCTTTCATTGATGCTACTGCAAGTAGGCATCGAACTGTTGTTAGTTTTGCTACTAGGGCAAAGGTCTCATTGTAGTTAATGCCTTCCACTTGTTTGTATCCCTTAGCTACTAGGCGGGCTTTATATCGTTTTATAAATCCATCGGCCTTATACTTGATTCGGAGCTGATAGCCATTTTTCCTTTAGGCAAGGTTGTGAATGTCCAAGTATTGTTGCTTGAGAGTGCTTCAAGTTCCTTGTCAATTGTGTCCTTCCATTTCGGATTGACCACAGCTTCTGATTCAGTCCTTGGTTCTTTGCTGTTGTGATCGATGTTTGTTACCTGTTCTACATAATCTATAGATGTAATGTTAGTTTGTAATGAAATTGGAACTTCTAAATTTTTACCCGCTAAGGAAGTGGTTGGAGTGGTGTCTTTGGATGACTCTTTCTTTGATAAGAAATTGCAAACATAGTCTGCCAATCTTCTTGGGGGTCTTCAGTCTCTTAGGGGTCTGGTTACTTGCTCCATGTTTTGGTCATTGATAAGTTGTTCATGTTCTTCTTAGTTTGAGAGCTCATTGGAGTTTTGGTTTGTTGGTTCTATCATGTCTTGCTACTATGTGTTGTCCATGTAAGAAAAAGTAGGTGTAATATAGAGGGACAGATATTATTGTTTGACTTTTTTTCAATGGGAGAATAAGTATGTGCATTTTCAACAATGTAAGGAAAATTTTCTTCATAGAATACAACATCACGTGAGTCAAAAAGTCTTTTCGTTTCAAGATCTATCACTTTGTATCCTTTATTTTCGGATGAATACCCAAGAAAAACAGAGTAGTGCTCTAG